CCCTCCCCGCTAGACCCTATTGTAAATATCAGACCCCCCCCACCCTCCCCGCTAGACCCTATTGTAAATAACAGAAACCCCACCCTCCCCACTAGACCCCAATGTAGATAAACAAAGCTCCTGCAGTTTCTTTCTCCAGGCAGTGAATTGAATGGATTTGCTGGGTCAGGTTTCTCCCTGGCGTGACATGTGCAACTCCCAGCATGCTTTATTGACTTAGTATCCATCTAGCCTGAGTGTGTAGCTATGTAAACCTGCCTAGTGTGCCCTCGTTTCAACAAAACTGCACCTTTGGTGTGGAAAGAGAAAAAGGCCAGACTGGATGGAAAACCGTCAATATTAAACAGCTGCTCGTAATCCAAGAGGGAATTCATAGAACATAGAACATAGAACATTACAGCGCAGTACAGGCCCTTCGGCCCTCGCTGTTGCGCCGACCTGTGAAACCAATCTGAAGCCCATCTAACCTAAACTATTCCATTATCATCCATATGTTTATCCAATGACCATTTAAATGCCCTTAAAGTTGGCGAGTCTACTACTTTTGCAGGCAGGGCATTCCACACCCTTACTACAGGAGAGAGTTCTTCGCCCAGATAGAGAGAGAGAGAGAGAGAGAGAGAATGAGGTCCTCGCAACCACAAGGAATAAACAAGGTGAACGGTATCAATGGATTCAAGGGGAAGCTGGAGAATCATGTGACACAGAGAAAGGAAATGAACGCCAGCTTGGAAATTATTTCACTCCTCATTCACAAAACGCCCCCCCCCCCAGTTAGCGGTGTTATCGAACACCGTAAAAATTGTAACACATACCACGTTTGGTGCTGAACCCGTGGAGAGTCCAGGGCTGACACTGTCGATCGCAGAACTGATTTCCTCACTCTCTTCCTCGACACTGGCCCCACCCTTCTGGCCTTTTAGAGAAAAGGAACAAGACAACGCCAAGTTCAGTGAAACACAGTCAGCTTTATAACACCACGCAGTGAGAGGTCACTTGCAGAAACCCAAGGGTTCATACCATGTCAGTGTCTTTCTCTGTAACCTCACAGGAGACACTGGCATGGGGAGTATTTATTGCCCATCCCTAATTGCCCTTGGGCTGAATGGCTCCCTAGGCCATTTCAGAAGGCAGTAAAGAGTCAATCACATTGCTGTGGGTCTGGAGTCACATGTAGACCAGACTGCATAAGGACGGTAGTTTTCCTTCCTGAAAAGACTTCCATAAATTAGAAGAGTTTGAACACTGATCAATGATCCATTAGACCTGCTTTTTCGATCATTGAATTCAAATCTCACCATCTGCCATGGTTAGATTTGAACCCCATGTCTTCAGAACACTTACTGAGATTTTTGGATTACTATTTCAGTGATATTACCACAGCGCTATTTCCTTTTCTCAAAACAGAACCCTCGCTGCATCTCAACTATGGCTTTCAGTCAAATCCCATTCTTCCAGATCCCACAAGAGGTTATCAAGCTTTAAAAGGCATTTGGAAAAATACATGAATACAAAAGGTTTAGAAGGATATGGGCCAACTGCAGGGAAATGGGGTTAGCGTGGACAGACATTTTGGTCAGCACGGACCAATTTGGGCCGAAGGGCCTGTCTCCGTGCTGTAGGACTCTATAGTAACTTCTCTCTCTCAGATTCTGCCTGAAGAACGTTGCTAGCATTTCCTCTTCTGACTCTCTCAATCATCTGGAGAACTGAATGCATTTTCTGTTCTCTAGGAGCTTTTGTCCCAGGCATTTTCTAAGAAACAGTATACGGTAGGCATAGCAATGAATCTGTACCAAAAACAACAAATGCTGGAGGTCACAGCGGGTCAGACAGCATCCGCGGAGAGACAGCACGCTAACATTTCAAGTCTATAGGACTCTTCATCAGAGCTGAATCTGACACTTGAATCTGAAGGTTGGGGAAGTTCAAGGGAATCAGGAAGCACGTCTCATGGGGTGGAGTCATACCTGGCACAGATGGTCGTGGTTGTTGCAGATCAGGTATCTCAACTCCAGGACATCTCATCGGAGCTTCCTTAGAGTAAATAATTGCTAATCTATCTGTTCAGAAACACTATTACACACTTCTGAACCAGGTGGGGCTTGAACCCAGGCCTCCTGGTTCAGAGTCATGGATAATACTACTGTATCACAAGAGCCTGGATTCCTCAGAGTAGTGGCCTATGCACAACCATCTTTAGCTGCTTCATCAATGACCTTCCCTCCGTCATAGGGTCAGAATTGGGGATGTTCGCCGATGGTTGCACAATGTTCAGCACCATTCGTGACTCCTCAGATACTGAAGCAGTCCATGTCCAAATGCAACAAGATCTGAACAGTATCCAGGCTTGGGCTGACAAATGGCAAGTAACATTCATACCACACAAATGCCAGGCATTGGCCATCTCCAAAGAGACCCATTCAATTGTGGTACCATCACCGAATCCCCCACTATCAACATTCTGGTGGTTATCATTGACCAGAAACTCAACTGGACTTGCCATTTAAACACAGTGACTACAAGAGCAGGCCAGAAGCTGGGAATCCTGTGGTGAGTAACTCACCTCCTGACTCCCCAAAGCCTGTCCACCATCTACAAGGCACAAGTCAGGAGTGTGATGGAATACTCCCCACTTGCCTGGATGGGGGCAGCCCCAACAACACTCAAGGAGGTCAACACTATCCAGGACAAAGCAGCTCGCTTGATTGGCACCACATCCACAAACATCCACTCCCTCCACTAGAGATACTCAGTAACAGCGGTATGTACCATCTACAAGATACACTGAGGCTCCTTTAACAGCACCTTCCAAAACTATGACCTCTACCACCTAGAAATGAGCTGCAGGAGTAGGCTATTCAGCCCTTCAGGCCTGCTCTAATATTCAATATGATCATAGCTGATCATTTGACTCAATAGCCGGCTCCCGCTTCCTCACCTATACTTTTTAATCCCTTGAGCCCCTGAGAACTATATCAAATTCCTTCTTAGGATCATAGAATCTCTACACTGCGGAAGCAGGCCATTCAGTTTACACTAACCCTCTGAAGATCATCCCATCCAGGTCCACCCCATCTCTGTAGCCCTGCATTTCCTATGCCTAACCCACCTAACTTACGCATCCCTGGTCACTACAGGCAATTTAGCACGGCCAATCCACCCTAACCTGCACATCTTTAGACTGTGGGAGGAAACCCACGCAGACACAGGGAGAATGTGCAAACTCCACACAGACAGTCGCCCGAGGGTGGAATTGAACCTGGGTCCCTGGCACTGTGGGGCAGCAGTGCTAACCACTGAGCCACCATGCCACCCCCAAAATGTTGAAATGTTTTGGTCTCAACTAAAGTGCTGATAGATGAGAACATCACCTCCTGCAAATTCCCCTCCGAGCCACTCACCATCCTGACTTCAAAATACATAGCTGCTCCTTCAGTGCCACTGGGTCAAAATCTTCATAGATTAGAATCCCCACAGTGTGCAAACAAGCCCTTCAGCCCAACAAGTTCACACCAACCCTTGGTACATCCCACCCAGACCCATCCCCCTATAACCCACACAACAGGCAATTTAGCACAGCCAGTCCACCCTAACCTACACATCTTTGGACTGTGGGAGGAAACTGGAGCAAACACACAGACACAGGGAGAATGTGTAAACTCCACGCAGACAGTCACCTGAGGGTGGAATTGAACCCAGGTCCCTGGTGCTGTGAGGCAGCAGTGCTAACCACTGAGCCACCATGCCACCCCTGCAACTCCCTTCCTAACAGCATTGTGAGTTTCCCTACAGCACATGGACTTCAGCAATTCAAGACACTGTCTCAAGGGCAACTGGGGACAGGCAATAAATATTGTCTATTTGTCTAAATTAATAATAAATAAAGTATCAATTTCCAGAGACTTGAGAACATAGCCTCATGTAGCCTTGAGGGAGCAGTGTGACTGGGTTCTGGGATTCTCATACTCACCAGTGCTCTGGATTTCATAAACCAGGTGAGGTTTCTCAGAGTCATTCCTATTGTCAACCATGCGTCGAAAACGACTGTTCCTATTGAGAGCGCTGCGAAAGTTTCTCTTCCACACAATAGGGTCAGGAGCATCGATCCCTGGCTTGTACCGGCCACTTGCTATCGCCCAAGCCTGCAGCATGTTTAAAATGTATTAATCCTTCCCCTGCTGAACAAATTGGCCTTCCATACAAATACACACAGTCTGTTATCCTTATCGTCCTGAATAAACAGAAACTTGCGCCATTATTATTGCTGATCTTTAACTTGCTGAGCGAACAACGATTCTATAGAGCGAAAATTAGAAATTGCTGGAAAAGCTCAGCAGGTCTGGCAGCATCTGTGGAGAGAAATCAGAGTCCAGTGACCCTCTCTCGCTTCACTCAGCCCCAAAACATTAACTCCACTTTCTGCTGAGCTCCAAACCTGCTGAGTTTTTCCAGCAACTTCTGGTTTTGTTTCTGATGTACAGCATCCGCAGTTCTATCAGTTTTTATTTAGGAATTCTATAGAGTTACACAGCAAGCAATGTTAAATTAATGAATACGAGTTCGTTTTCCTCATATACTCTGAAGTGCTATTTTGCACAACTCAGCGACCTACTCTTCACCAAAAAAATCACCACGACATTTTTCTTGCATTTTTTTGAAGCTACTACCCACCCCACTAGTAAAAAACACTCATGTAGCCAATTCAATGTTCACATGCAAAGCCCTTTAAGGGCATTACGAACCAACACGTTTGTTTTTAAGCATGAGAATAGAATTAGAGACAATGAGAACTACTTAGAAAATCAAGTCACCAATCATTTTTGGACAAATAGGAAGTTGACACAGCTGCACCTGAAATATTTTGGAGTCATCTTCAGAAATGTCCTGCCTCGAGCGATGTTTCCATGGAATCTGGAATCTTGTTTTCTCTGCATTCAGCCAACGGAGGCCAGGGTATAGACCACTGTATATCTGCTCGATAAGCCAATCATATAACAACGGTTTCTGGGAGCCCATTCTGTTGGGATCAAAGCAAAAAGTAGGAATTTTTAAAAATTTCATTCATGGGATGTGAGCATCGCTGGCTATTCAGCACTTATTGCCCATCCCTAATTGCCCAGAGGGCAGTTAAGAGTCAACCACATTGCTGTGGGTCTGGAGTCACATGTAGGCCAGACCAGGTAAGGATGGTAGATTCCTGCCCTGAAATGAACCAGAGATAACAAGGTGTAGAGCTGGATGAACACAGCAGGCCAAGCAGCATCAGAGGAGCAGGAAGGCTGACGTTTCGGGCCGAGACCCTTCTTCAGAAATGACCATTTTTCAGAATATAGCCTACAGCCTTGGTTCAAATATAGACTAAAGAGTTGAATTCCACAGGTGAGGTGAGAGTGACAGACCTTGGCATCAAGGCTGCATTCGACTGTATGTGACGTCAAGCAGTCCTGGCAAAAATTGGAATCAATGGGTATCAGGGCAAATTTTCAGAAAGGACCATTTCTGAAGAAGGGTCTAGGCCCGAAACGTCAGCCTTCCTGCTCCTCTGATGCTGCTTGGCCTGCTGTGTTCATCCAGTTCTACACCTTGTTATCTCAGATTCTCCAGCATCGGCAGTTCCTACTATCTCTGAAATGAACCAGATGGGTTTGTCCAACAATCAGCAACAGTTTCATGGTCATTGTTAGACTCTTAATTTCAGATTCAAATTCCACCATCTGCCATGGCGGGATTCAAACCTGGGTCCCCAGAGCATTACCCACATCTCGGAATTAATTGTCCACCGATAATACCACGAAGCCATCACCTGCCCAGCGAACTGATGCTCAGGAACAAAAACAATGAGGAGGAGTAATCCAGGGCAGGGCAGGGAGGTGGCAATGGCGATGTAGAAGGGGAGAAATGAGAAGCTGGCACTGAGAAGATGAGAAAGACATTTTGGGAAAATGTGGCACAACACGAGACAGATTTTCTGACATCGACTGAGATCTTTCTTCGATATGGAGGTGTCGGTGTTGGGCTGGGGTGGACAAGGTCAGAAATCACAGAATATCAGGTTATAGTCCAACAGGTTTATTTGAAATCACAAGCTTTTGGAGCCTCGCTCCTTCCTCAGGTGTTAGTGAGAGAGGTATCAGACACACAATTTATAAGTAAAAGATCAAAGGGTCACACCACTGATGATGATGTATTAAACAAACCTAAGATGATCTTTAATCAGTTAGAAGGTTTTAATTGATTAATATGTATATGTAGATCCCAGAATTCCTTTCATGTCACTGCCCTGAGAGAACTAAAGGTTTAATCAGTATAAAGAAAAGGTGACATTTTACGTCAGACAATGCATGTTAGGTACGAGGCCTTGTTTAGAATCTATTTGTGTTTTGGTTTGGAGTCAGACTGGCTTTATTTCTAAAGTATGAATTTATAAAACACCACGTAGACTATTGTGTGTGCTTTTTGAAGAAAATAGAATGTATTTGCAAATACAAATTCGCCCCATAGATTCACGCATGCGCGTGTGCGTATGAGAGGGGGGGGTGATAGTCTATGCGTGTGTGAGAGTGTACAGTGCGGTGGGGTCACCTGTACTGCGACATGAACCCAAGATCCTGGTTGAGGCCGTCCTCATGGGGACGGAACTTGGCTATCAGCCTCTGCTCAGTGACTCTGCGTTGTTGTGTATCCCGAAGTCCGCCCTGGAGGATGTTTACCCAAACATCTGAGGCTGAATGCCCTTGAGCGCTGAAGTGTGCCCCCACTGGGAGGGAACATTCCTGTCTGGCAATTGATGCACAGTGTCCATTCATCTGTTGTTATAGCGTCTCTCCCGACCCTCACATACACACACTCATTCTCTCTCTCTCTCTCACACACACACACACCCACACCCAAACACACACACACACACACACACACACGCGCTCCCTGACACATGCGAATCTATGGTGTAAATGTGTATTTGCAGATACATTCTATTTTGTACAAAAAGCACATAATTTATAGACAGTCATTCAATGTTGCATTTTATAAATTGCTAATTTGAAAATAAAACCAGTCTGACTCCAAACCAAAACACACAGATTCTAAACAAGGCCTCATACCTAACATGCATTGTCTGACCTAAAATGTCACCTCTTCTTTACGCTGATAAAACCTTTAGTTCTCTCAGGGCAGTGACATGAAAGGAATTTGGGGATTTACATATACATATTAATCAATTAAAACCTTCTAACTGATTAAAGATTTAACAGCATCTTAGTTTGTTTAACACATCATCATCAGTGGTATGATCCTTTGATCTTTTATTTAGACATTCTGTGTCTGATACCACCTCACTAACACCTGAGGAAGGAGCGAGGCTCCAAAAGCTTCTGTTTTCAAATAAACCTGTTGGACCATAACCTGGCGTCGTGTGAGATCTTTCTTCAACATTCCATCAGCCTCATGCCCATACATGGGATGCCTACATTGTGGAAAGAGGCCATTCCCTTACCCCAAGACTGTGATCCTCTAACTAAGGGAAGCGTCTCTCAGCATCCACCCAACAAGAAAGAAAGGCACGCATTTGTATAGCACCTGTCGCAGCCACTAGATGCCTCAAAATGCTTTATTGCCACTTAAGTTCTTTGGGCGTGAGCCACAAGATGCACAGCAAGATTCCACAAACATAGTGACCTACCTGTTTGTTTAGATATTTTCTGATCAACCTTCTGGGAGATGTTATATCGGACCTGCAGAACAGGTGGGACTTGAACCCAGTCCAGGGGTAGGGACGCTACCGCTGCACCACAAGTGCCCTTAGTTACTTTGTTTATAACAACGGGAGATAATTACCAGCTGAAACTACCAAGAATATTTTGCCTGCCGCCCCCCCTCCGTTTGTATAGAACTGAGAGGATCAGGAAATGGAGGGGAAGTTGGAGCTTAGAGAGTGTAGTTCCAGCTGTCTGAGGCTCTCAGTCTCCCAGCACTCAAACCAAACCCACCTGAGACAGTTTACCAATCCACAACCCTGGGTTTTATAAAGGCTGCAAACTGGAGTGTCCTGTGCTTTTTCATAGAATCCGTACCAATGAGCAAGCAGGCCACTCGGCCCATCAAGTCCACACCAACCATCTGGAGGGCATCCCATCAAGACCCACCCTGCATTCCCCATGACTAACCCACCCAGCCTGCACATCCCTGGACACTGTGGGCAATTTAGCACAGCCAATCCACCCTAACCTGCACATCCCTGGACACACTGTGGGAGGGAACTGGAGGAAACGGGCACAGACACAGGGAGAATGTATAAACTCCGTACAGACAGTCACCTGAGGGTGGAATTGAACCCAGGTCCCCAGATCTGTGAGGCAGCAGCACTAACCACTGAGCCACTGTGCCACCTTTCTTTTTGACTCCGGTAAAAACCAAAAGAACTGTGGATGCTGTAAATCCGGAACAAAAACAAAGTTGCTGGAAAAGCTCAGCAGGTCTGGCAGCATCTGTGGAGGAGAAAACAGAGTTAACGTTTCGGGCCCGGTGACCTTTCCTCAGAAGGGTCCTCAGAATTTTTTTCTCTGGTGTTTGCCAATGAAAGATGATAAAGTCTTACCCAGGCCACTGGGGTGGTCTCTCATTAGAGAGGAACAACTGGTGGGGGTTTTAACCTGAGGGTCACCAAGCCTCAGGCAAGGGGACAGATTGAGAAAGAAAGTCATTCACAGTAAACTCAGCTGGGAATCAATCCCACTCTGTTGGCGTCACAAACCAGCAGTCCAACCACCTAACTAACCAATAACCCCTTTCACAAATAATTAAAAAAAACTTATAGTCAATCATGGAACCACTATGGTGCAGAAAGAGGCCATTCAGCCCATCGGTCTGTACCCGGATCACCAAGCATCTCTCCATTATCCTGTCCGCTTCAGGTAACTTCCTGTAAGTCTCGATCGAACCTGCCTCCATCTTACTCTCCACCATCTTACTGCAGGCCCTAAATATTCGCCGTGTGAAGAGGTTTCTCCTCATTTCCCCTTTGTTTGTGTTCCCAATTACTTAAAATCTTATGCCCTCTCATTCACGAGTAGGAAAGTCTTCCCCAAACGAACTCTGTCCAGAGATCTCGTGATTTGCAATAAATTGGCTTGGTCTCCTCTCAGCTCTTCCCAAAGGAAATCAGCCATCATTGTCCCAAAGTTTATCCCCAACTCCATTCCTCATTCCTGGAACCATTCTCATGGAATTCTTTTGAATTCACTCCACATCCAAGAGTGACCATCCACAGCTGAACATTAAACTCTAAGGGTGAATTTTTGCTTTGGATTTGTTCACAGGATGTGGGTGCATTGACTGGGCCAGCATTTATTGGCCGCCCTTAATTGCTCAGAAGTCACTTAGGAGTTAACCACATTGCTGTGGGACTGCAGTCACCAGGAGGCCTTGACCGAATAAATTCAGACAAAACTGAATGACGGGGCACAGATTTAACATAACTGGCAAAAGATACAAAGGCAACACAAGGATAAACCTCTTCACACAGTGAGTATTCAGGGTGTGGAGTTGATTTTTAATTCATTTGCAGCATCATGGGCATTGCTGGCCAGGCCAGCATTAACTCCCCACCCCTAAGTGCGCAGAGAGCAGTTTAGAGACAACCATATTGCTCTGGGAGTGGAGTCACATATAGTCCAGGCCAGGTAAGGACAGCAGTTTCCATCCATAAAGGACGTTAGTGAACCAGATGGGTTTTTAATGACAATCAACGATGGAGTCATCATTAGAGTCTTAATACCAAATTTTTACTGAATAGAAATTGCACCATTTGCCAGGGTAGGATTCGAAACAAAGGTCTCCTATGTCTTCTGCATATATACACCCTGAGGGACTGGTGAAGGCAGGTTCAATCAAAAATTCACCTGATAGTGTACATGATAGTGGAGAGATGGCACTTGCTGTGCTAGTATGGACCCAACGGGTTGAATGGCCTCATTCTACAACGTAATGACGCTGAGATTGATAATTATCGTCACAGGCCAACAGATTTCCTTCCCTAAAAGATGTGTCCTGAACCCAATAGGCTTCTGAGACAAATGAAGCCAAAACTTAAGTTTGAAACCAAACTTAAGCATCTGACGTGACGTGATTTAAACCCAGGTGCTGAGATCTTTGGCAGGGTCGCTACATTAAGAGGCCAGCGATAGTGCCACGAGGCCAAGCATCACTGACAATGTGTTCAACAGAACCTCCTTTGGGAGTGAGCATGATGTCATCGGGTCACCATGCATGGAGCTGATGACATCATTGCGTCTCACAGCAGTGATGTCATCATAGTTGCCCATGGGGATCTGATGAATGACGTCATCAACCCACACCAGCCGTCTGCGCACCCAGGGGGGCCCCGTCTGCGCACCTGGGGCAGAGCCGGGGGGCCCCGTCTGCGCGCCCGGGGCGGAGCCGGGGTTGGGGGGGGGCCCGTCTGCACCCCCGGGGCGGAGCCGGGCGCGCCGGCGGCGGAGCCAGGGGGCCCCGACTGCGCGCCCGGGGCGGAGCCGGGGTGGGGGCCCCGTCTGCGCGCCCGGGGCGGAGCCAGGGAGCCCCGTCTGCGCGCCCGGGGCGGAGCCGGGGTGGGGGCCCCGTCTGCACAAACACAGTTGGTGGATCCTGCAAGCAGGAACATTCGTGATCTCCGCGATACCATCTGCTTTATGATCTGCTCTCTTCACCCTGTCTCACCGCCAAACCATGTTGACATCAATTTGTTTCTGTGACGACGCCTGTTAACGGTTTGATTACTACAGACTGGTTTGTAACTGGAAATCTCAGCACCATCCAAAGGGAGGCTATCTCAGGGAAGTGAATGAACACATCTTTACCTCGCTCTTTAATTTCAAACTGTCCTTTCATAGAAAGAATCTGCTTCAGTTTTGCAGCAGACAGTTAACGCCAGCAGGAGAAAGCAATGCCAGGCTTCTGTGCTGCCCTCCACCACTGCCAGCTCCAGGCCCCTTCTAACTTTCGGTTCTGGATTTCCTCTGGTGAACCAATTGCATTTAAAGACCGGCCACACCGCACCTTCCATGACATCAGTTCCTCTGGTTGCTCTGGGATGTCTTAAAGGGGAATTTCCCCAGCCCTGCAAAATAACTGTTTTGGCTTCCAGAATTGCCAAAGAGCTAAAATTACCAGCAGAAATTCCTGTGATGTAGAAACAGATTAGCCGCCCTTTATTTGTGATGCCTGGATAGACCCATACCCAAGAGGTCGGGTCAAGTCAAGTTAGAAAGCCCACCTCTAGAAGGGTGGGAGTTGTATTGGGTAAAAACCGCAAGTTCCCAAATGCCAGACTGTACAAGTGCCAGGCCAACTCGATATGGCATGTTGGCTATTCTTTCTGTCCTCACACCACTTGGCCTTCTGTGCACCAACTAGATGGTTCACCACCACCTTCTCAAGGGGCAATTAGGGTGTTTGGATCGGCACATCTCCAGATTTCACAAGAGGATGTGGATCAGACAGGATTTTGGATCCACAGGGAGGGCTGGGCACAGGGGCAAGTGTACCCATATCCCAGCGGTGGACCATTTCCTGGGCAGGCAATAGGGCGAGGGGGACTGTTACAGCAACTCCCCCAACACTCGGGGCAGGAACCATTCCTCTCATGGATGACCATATCCTGATTCCAGCACCCAATGCAGAGAGTCAAACAGGCCAGGCATCTCCCTCCAAGGTGCCAGTGCTCCAGGTAGATTCCCAGGCCGAGCTACAGCAACAGCTCTGGCTGGAGATGTTGGCTGTAACCCCTCTTCAACCCTCTTCATACCCCTCTTCAACCCCCTTCATACCCCTCCTCCAGGTCCCCTCCATCCCTTCTCCCCACCACCATTCCCCCTCCTTCCGGCCCACCTCCACCTCTCCTCCAAAACTCCAACCCCACCTCCACACCCTCCCCACCACCATTACCCCCTCCACACCCTTCTCTGCCCCTTCCGCCCACCCCCATTCTGCTCAATTTTCCTCCTCCCCATCTCCACACCCTTCTTCCCCCTTCCACCCCACCTCCGCCAACCCTTTCCCACCTCC